ACATACCACACTAATACCAACCCTGGTACCTTCCCTTGCAACAAACCCCGTTGCCAGCTTTGTCCACATATTCATTCTGCTGATACCATTATTGGACCTAACCAAGTGAGTTATAAGATCAAGAACACATATTCCTGCGCATCCAGAAATATAATTTATGCTATCACTGTGCCGAAAGTGTAATCTGCTATGTACATTGGACAAACGTCTCAGACACTTCGCCAAAGGATCAATGCCCATAAAACAGATATTAGACAGGATCACAAAGAAAAAACAGTTTCTTGCCATTTCAACCAGAAAGGACATTGTCTCAATGACTTACTCACCTGCATCCTGCTTCAAAGACCTTTCAAATCTGCACTTGAAAGGGAATCCTCTGAACTGTCATTCATGCTAAAATTCGACACTTTACGCCTCAGTCTCAACAAACAATCTAGTTATCTTACCCATTACAAAGATAGCTTCCCCAATTATCACCTCTAATATCATTAACTCACAGACATCTACCTTCCCCCCCCCCCCCCGCATCCCCCTTCGGTTCTGAAATTTGATTTGTCCTTTTCATATGTGTTCATTTTTTTAAAAATTGTATCATTTGGTATATATGGTTGTGACTATTTTCTTCCACTATTTGATCTGAGGAAGTGGGTCTGGCCCACGAAAGCTCATCATCTAATAAACCATCTTGTTAGTCCTTAAAGTGCTACATAGTCCTGTATTTTGCTCCAATAGAACCTCGTTACTTATTACTTCTAAAACCCTTTCTACTTCCACCATTTTTTATCATAGTGGATAACACCCCCATTCTCTTTGTCAGTTAGGCTCATAACTTTGGGGGTCATCTTGAATTCTTTACTTTTGCTCCTATACATCCAGGTTATCATCAAAACTTGCTTTTTCCTTCACATGAATTTGAAATTCTGTCTGGTCTAAGAATGTTAAAATGTGGATAATTAGCTAATTGAGCAGTCGATGGAATTAGTTGATAAGGGGAGGGGCCCTCGCTACCCCTACAGCTGCTCTGCAGGGTTAGCTCCGGGGGCTGGCACAAGTGGGGACATCACACCGCCCTGGGAGCTAACCCTGGTATGCCACTGCCTTTTAAATGTAGTAAGAGCCGGCAGGAGTCCTGAAAGCAGCTGGCATGTACAGCAGTGTACATGTGCTTCCCCTCTTATACAGGCACCAACCCCACAGTGTCTACTGGCCACGGTTCTCCGTTACTGATCAATGGGAGCTATAGGAGTGGTGTCCGCAGGCAAGGACAGCATGTGCAGACCCCCTGCTCTGACTTTCTCAGGGGCTGCAGGGATATGCCAGCCCCTTCCAGGAGCACAGTTATCATAGGGGTAATTACTCCAGCAGGCTCTTACTACATTTAAAAGGCAGCGGTGCAATGGATGACCGGACGTGAGCCGGGACAGCTGATTCCCAACTTGCGCCCAGTTGCCCTCTGCATTTCTGCCTCAGTTGCCGCCCCCCCTCCCCTCCCACTTGGAGATGGTGCTAGAGGGAACCAGCTTTTAAGCTGGCTCCTGCTCCCTCACCTTGCTGCCTCTAATATAGGGCGGGGGGAGTGACTAGTCAGTAGTCGATTACCCAATAAGTTTAGGCTTGACTAATCGCTTACATCTCTAGTGTGGTCAAAACGCGTCTCTACTTACTGTTCACTTTCTGCCTTCATTACTGCAACCTTCTCCCTGAATTTATTTATCTTCTTTCCATATGAGAGTCTTTAATCCATCAAAGCATACTGCAAAAATGTTTATATTTGGACTTCTATTGGATGACCCCATCCCCATTCAAATCCTGCTGTTTATTCCTCTTCAGCCATCTTCCTAGACAAGCAATGACTTTCAATCCCACAGCACTGTGACTACTCCCGCTCCTCATTTGAATAATTCCTAAAGGTACTCTTCTTCTCAGATGCCTACATGCTGTAACTCACACCATCAAACACTAGCATTCTGACTCACACCAGTGAAGGGAGTATGACTATAGAACTATTGCAATTTCAGTGAATGCCAACTACCAGAATGGCCTTTTTATGGGAATGTGACATTGAGCTCAGATTAGACAGACTAGCTCTGAGACTACTCCAAAATGAAGGGAGGGGGAAATTGAGCTCTGGAGGTCCAATGCATAAGGAAGATGAGGCAATGCAAAAGTGAAGTATCTTAGACCTGAGGAATCAGCTCCTGTTCTTTTGTGTTCAGATTGTTGGTTATGTGAAATATTTTTAAATACGAGGCTGTAAGAATCATAGCAATTACAGCTGAAGAATTGCCTTGTCATCCAGGCTAGTCCCTTCTGAATAGTGCAAGCTATTCCCTATCTTGAACTGCTTTGGTTTATTCTTCTTTCACCCAACTTACTTTGACTATGTATTTCTTCATATAAACAACATTTCACAAGTTAATGTTAATAGACCATGCCCATACTTTATGACATAATAGCACTGTCCTTCCACAGAGCCCAAAGTACCCTTTATGGGGACACAAAGAACAGTAATTTGCTCACAATCAGACAAGAGAGGCAGAGATAGAATTCAGAATAATTCTCATCTTGCACCAATATTACACCTATCTTGTCCCTAATGGAATTACTCTTGATTTGCCCCAGAATAGGGGAAAGGAGAATAATGCACTAGATCGTCAGTCTTAATCCTGTGTCTTAACCACAAAACTATGCTTCCTAATTTGTATGCATTTAGTACAGAAAACTGTACTAAGCAGAAAAGTGGACATAATATCCCTAATTTTTCAAGCATAGTTAAGTATTTTTATAATTCATAGTGATTTTTTTTCCAAGACTGATGTCAAAAGTACCAAGGCTGTAGTGAAGATCAGATTTGTATCTATTCAAAATTACATTAGTCAGTATTCCTACATTACTCCTTATTGTGTTTTACAAAAATTCCTTTTTTTTTTAAAGGAACAAGCACGATATATGTTGCACAGAAAGAGAAACTACAAATAAGTAATTGTCAGGCTATGTTCTGTTTGAGTGAGATGGTCTTATACAATCAATATATTATACCATTTCTACAATGTCAATATCTAATTCAAAGTAAAGGTCTTGTATTTTACTGAATTTTTGCACCTTCATAACTTTGTCTTTACAAAACTAAGGAATAGGTGACTATCTTCTTCAAAATGCCACAAATACATTTAGTAGTCTGCCAAAACTGAATGAAAAATCCAATCTGAAATTTCTAGACATCGACATTGTTCAGAGAGAACTTGACAAAAAAAATACACGAATTTTCTTCCTTGGATGTCAGGGGTAATCAGATATGAGACAATGCTAATGAATCAATTTACATACAGAAATGAGTAAATTTTGTCTGACCTCAAAAAGGTCTATGAAGATTATAGTTACCATTCAGGTGACAAACATGCAAAGACTAAATTTGAAGTTCAGAAAAAAAAATCACCTTTTAAGAATAAAATGTGTGTTTTTTTTCCCTGGGACTCTATTCTCTCTTTTGAAAAGTTAGTGAAAAGGAGAGCAAGGAAAAAAGTGCTCTACCTTTTGAGGATTCTGTCCATGACAGCAAGCAAGCTTTACATATACTTCTGATTAAAATATTCTAAATGATGTCACAATAGCTAATATATTAACTTATGTTGCAGAAAACACAATTTATTGTCCTGGCAGGAAAATATCAACTTTGCCTTTGTCTTGAGTCAATACTTTGTATTGATTCAACAGTTACCAATAGCTGCTTAATATAGTATGCATAAATGCACCTAAAACCATTTTTGCTAATAATTTTACTTTTTCTTTTAAAGGAATACTAAGAATAAGCCATTGCATTCTTCATACAAAATTTGTTAGAGGAGAATCAGAAATTGTAGTCAAAGAGCTAAGAAACAGAAACTGTAAAGAGTTCCCCAAAACTAAAACACTCTTAGACTTCTCCATTAAGATTTGCTCTTTTCTAGTTCAATAAAACTCTAAATCATGTCCATTAAGTTAAGGGGAA